AGGCAGGAGGATCATGAGTTCATTGTCACTCTGGCCTTACATAGTGTGTTTGAGGTCAACCTAGGCTACATGAGACCCTCTCTCAAAACAAAAAGAAAATTTTAATTTGTTCATAATCCCACTACTGCAGAGACCATTAGCCTTTTGGTAAGTACATTTTCCCCTCCTACATTTTTATGTCAGTGTACACATCTACACACACTAAACAGTCATGGTGGCAGGATCGATTTCAAACATGAGATTTCAAAAAAGTGTGAGCAGCAAACCAGGGTGATGCCTTTAATCCCAGCAGTTGGGCGGCAGAAACAGGCAGATCTCTGAGATAGAGGACACAAAAAAAAGAAGACAAAAGTGATCAGCAGTATGTATATTTACGCATTTATGCTAATGGAGCTTTTTGTTTGTTTTTGTTTTGTTTCATTTTGTTTTGTTTTGTTTTGAGACAAGATCTGGCCTGCAGCTCACTGTGTTGACCAGGCTGGCCTCTGATATGGTGATCTTTCTGCCTCTGCTCCCCAGTACTGGGATTGCAGGTGTGCACAGCCATGCCCAGCTTAATGAAGCTGTTGAAAAAACATTTTAAGCATGCAACTCAGTAGCTTTAAGTCATTGAAGTGTGCAGCCATTACAACCTTCCATCTCTGGAACTTTCTTCCTTTTCTCAAACAGATACTCTGCTCATTAAACACTGATTTTTAACTCCCCACTTCCCTTGCCCCAGCCATGGCAAGCTCTGTTCTTTGTGAACTCACCTATTTTAGGAACCTCATGCATTGGATACAGTATTAGTATTTGTCATTTTGCATCTGACTTACTCATGTCTTCAGGATCCACCAGTATTGTAATATGTGTCAAAATCTTACTCCCTTTAAGGCTGAATGGAAGTTTGCTTTTCCTTTCATCCTTTGCATCAGGAAAATTGCATTACTTGGGCAGTTCTTGCTTGTGGTCTCAAATGGTTGCAGTCAGCTGAAGGCTCCACTGGGCCACGTGCACAAGTCTCACATAAGGTGGGCAGGCAGGTGATGCTGGCTGTCATCTGGGAGCGCAGCTAGAGCCATTAACAACATGCATACTTGTGGCCTCTCCATGTGCCTTGGGCTTCTTACAGCTTGAAAGCTGGGTTCTGAAAGAATGCATCCAGAAAGGTTCCCAAGAGGCAGGAAGTAGAAACCACTGCTCTCTAATGCCCAGGCCTGGAAACTTACACAGTGTTACTTTTGTCAAATGCTGCTGAGAGGCAACATAGAATCCCCTTTATGGAAAGAGACCCAAAGATTTGATGGCCATGTTTTGTTGCTGTCTGTTTGTTTTTAATTTACTTTTTCTTTTTGAGGTAGGGTCTAATACATAGCCTTGACTGGCCTGGAACACTATGAGACCATGCTAAGTCTTGAACTCGTAGATATCAACCTACCTCTGCCTCCCAAATAATTTTTATTTTTATTTTGCATGTATTTGTATGGGTCTGAATGTGTGTCTTATAATACATGCATGCTTGATGCCCCCTGGAATTGGAGTGATAGTGTTTGTGAGCTGCCCTTTGGGTGCTGGGAAGTAAACCTGGGTCCTGTGCAAGAGCAGCAAGTACCCTTAACTCCTGAACTATCTCTCTAGTCCCATTTTATTTAATTAAATTAAACTAATTAATTAATTAATTAATTAATTTGTCTTTTGTCTGGATTTGTGTGGGAATTGTGGTATGAAAGAAATTCACTCCTCAAATAAGCTGCCTTTAGATTTAGCTTTTTTTTTTTTGGTCTTTTTAAGACAGGGGTCTGTCTCCCTGTAGCCCCAGCTGGTCTGGAACTTACTATGTAGACCAGGCTGGCCTTGAACTCACAGAGATCCGCCTGCCTCTGCCTCCTGAGTGCTGGGATTAAAGGCATGCACCACCATGCCCGGCCTTGTTGGGTATTATTTTTTTTATATATATAGAAGGTCTTGCTTTATTGCCCAGGCTGATCTTGAAGTTATAAGTTCAACTGATCCTCAACTCACTTTCCCAAATAGCTGGAACATTTGACTTGGCTTGGCACTCTCTGTCTGTCTGTCTGTCTGTCTGTCTCTCTCTCTCTTTCTCTCTTTCTCTCTCTCTCTCTTTCT